TTTTTTTTTTTTTTTTTTTGGTTAAATTACCCTTTCTCCACAGCCCCAGGCACAGAGCCAAATCCTTTATTCCCTGTCAGTTCCTCTGCATCTCCCTGCTCAAGTCACTAACCAACCAGAAAGCTTCTCCCCTCTCAGTTCATGACCATCAAAACTGGAGATCAGATTCAAACCCCTCCTCCCTTGCAAACAGTTTTTCTTGGTCCACTATACTCTGCTGTGTTACAAATGTATATGGTCTTAAATATTACTTTTGTTACTGCTGATAGGTTGCTTCAGAAAGGTTGCTATGGTTTGCTTCCTCGGTGAGATTTTCCAAGTAAAGAGCTTGTTTGATTAAAAAAACAGTATAGTAGATTTTAAGTTCCTTAGGATCAAAAATTGTTCTATTTCTTCCCTGTGCCTAAGAATAATACCAATAGCAATAATAATATACATGCACTGTTCTATCATTTTATAGGTGTTGATTCCACCTTTAAGATACAAGTGCTACTATCAGCCTCACTTTACAGATGAGGAAAACTAAGAGGTAAAGCAGTTTGTTTTAGATTTCTCAGTCTGTAAATGGCAAAGCTGATATCCAGATGGTGTGGTTGTGAAGTTCCTCTTTTTATCATAGTGGAAATTGAACCCAGGACCTCATCCTGAGCTACAGTCTTACCCCTTTCCATTGTCATTATTATTATTTTTTGGGGGGGTAGTGGGGAATGAACTCGGGTCCTTGCGCTTGCAAGGCAGGCCACTGAACCACTGAGCTAAATACCCGGCCCTCATTGTCATTATTTTTTAAATTTGGAGACAGGGTTCCACTAAGGTGCCCAGGCTGGCCTCAAACTTGTGATCTTACTGCCTTAGGCTGAGTAGGTGAAGTCTATAGGCTTAACCCAACAAGATGCTTTCTACACAGAGTTGCATATAGTGTTTGTAAACGGCGAGGGGAGGAGGGGGTGAAGGGAGGGCAGGGACAAGGGGAAAAAAACGAGAACCAAGACCTGTCATGTAGAGGTACAAGATCCCAGTGATGAATGTAACTGTACTGTATACCTAAAATGTACCAATAAACTCAATAAAAAAGTATATATTCTAAAACCTCTTGATTAACAATCCAAGGGTTCCCTTCAGCAGTGGGAGAGAACAGAAACAAAGACTTACCATCTGCTGTTCAATGTGGCCCTGGACAGTCTGCAGGGTCTGGCCCTGAACTGTTTGAATATTGACAGGAGGAGTGGTTTCTTGACTCATCCATGGGCCCAGCTCATTCTCCCCTAGGAAGACTTCTGAAGCAGTTTTCAAGGCAGCCACAGTAAGGTCCTCATTGCTTACCAGGTGAATTTCTTCCAAATTACTAAGCAATGGCATCTCTCGAAAATACCACTCAATAGTTTGTAAAATAGTCTTTGTACACAAATCCAGAGGAAACTGAAAAATTCCAGAGCTCAGGGCTGGAATTGCAATTGTCTTAATTGTTGTATTTTCATAGGTCACATACTTCAGAATTCTGGCAACGACCCTATGCAATTTATCAATACATCTCTGTGCATCCTTTGCCTTCCACTGGGGCCCAACAGCATGGATAATCAGGTTACAGGGAAGCTGCCCTGCTCCAGTGATAGCTATCTCACTAGCTGGTACCTTACCATATCTGACCACAAACCTTCTGCTCTCCTCTTGGATTTCACGGCCTCCAACTCTCACCAGGGCCCCAGCCAGGCCTCCCCCATGCAGAAGGTCTTCATTGGCTGCATTCACCACTGCATCAACAGCATGTCTGGTGAGGTCATCTTTCCACACAGACAACTCCAGTCTAGGGCTCAACCTTTTACTGAAGACTTTCTGAGCAAGAAGCTGGCTGTGACCTTTCAAGGCTGGAGAGATCAGGGTGGAGAGACAGCCAAACTTATTCTGCAGGACTTCAGACAGCCGACTCTCGTGATTTTTTAAAATTGTGAAGTCACTGTGATTGATGGGAATTTTCCAGCTAAAGGTGTCAACAGAAAAGTCAGCCTCTGGAAAAGCAAAGAGATAAAATAATAAAGAAACATGCAAGAGTTCCTTTGAAAGGGATTTGATTCCATTCATAATGGGAAAATGAATTTTTATTTGCAAGGGAATGAATTTCCTCTAGTGCCCTTAATACTTCTCCTTTTCACCTGGACACATAGTTAGATCAAGAATACCTGGGGCCAGGGATTTAGCTCAACGTTTCGGTAGCCTGCCTTGCAAGCACAAGGACCCGAGTTCAATCCCCGGTACTAAAAAAAAAAAAACAAACAAACAAAGAATACCTAAGAGTTTTCAGTGGTAGGTCACCTACAAAGTGTTTAGTCTTAAGCCTGGCACACAGTAAGTGCTTCGTAAGGCTAGCTACTGTGTACAGTGATGGCAGTGAAAAAAACTGTGTGATCTTTTTTGGGGTGGGAATACTAGGGATCAAACTCAGGACCTTGCACTTGGGAGGCAGGCACCGTGCCACTGAGCTAAATTCCCAGCCCTGTGTGATTTTAAATGTATGTAAAAATGGTGAGTTTAGGAAGATCAATGATGAACACACACATATTTAAAGGAACTTAATTATAAATTAGAAACATAGGGGGACTTTCTTCATATGTTTTGGCTTTATTAAAGGCTCCTACTTGGTTCTCTAAGAAGCAAGGCCTGGGACATGAATTTTGAGTGTAAGTAGTTTGGGAGGTGATCTTAGAAAACATCAGGGGCTTTTTGTTAAGGAGGGCAGGGTGGGAAGGTAAAACAAAGGAAAAAAATGAATAAAGTGTGTGATACCTAAAAACTGAAGATTAACTCCACTAGCAGACAGTATGAATCATGTGACTTAGGACTTTAACCCAGAGGGGTAATTATAGGAGATAGGATATTATCCAACCTCTGCATGTCTTTGGTCAAAGCTGTTCCTTGGTGGAAAACAGTACAGGGACACCAGAGGAGCAAGTGGGTAGAGAATTGTCAATGTTTGGTAGAATAAGTAATTCTTCATAGCATTTCTGTTCCATGGAACAATGAAAATCAGTTGAGTAAAATCTGTTTGCTTATGTGGCAAAAAAGATGCATCGCTCAGCTCTTCCTTCAGTTTGGTTATGAAGTGAGAAAAACGGTAAGCTTACAGCCTCCAGCTCTCAGCCTCTGGAGGATGCCTTTTTTTCAGGATGACCTCCATCAAGGGCTGAGCAAGGCCATCTATGCCCAAAGTCAGACATCTCTAACCATCAGGTTTTCATTACAGTCCCATGGCTCCAGCTGCCCAATCTGGCTTCTGTACCTTCATAGTGAACCATTTGCACTGGTTACCTCCATTTCCAACTCTTATTTTCTGAAAAACCCAACCTGGATACGGTATTTTATGGAGTCTAAGACATCGTTATTATATGCCTCTGATAAAGGAGTAACAATGGCAAATGAACCATGGTAGCCTTATTTCAGAAGGGTTAAAATGTGAAAAAAAATGTGCATCCTAAAACAGATAAAATGTGATCATGACTTATATAGTACTTCAACTTCTAGTTCTAATCTGAGCCACCTAGAAAGACCTCTGGTGGTCTCAGTGACTCAAAGACTCAGCAGTCAGTCCTTGGGCTCAGCTAGCTTTGGCTGGCAATCCTGTCAGGGGCCAGCTCTAGGGTTAGGTAGGGACCGTTTGTCTCTTTCAGCTCTTGCTAAGTGTTATGGTTTGTGTCTAGATGTCCCCCCAAAGCCTCATGCAGTCTTCTTGGAGGCTGCTGAATCTGGAATCTGTGATGCTGGGATTAAGGGATTGTAATTACTAAACCACTACACATGAGTAATTGGTTTGATACTGCCCTAATCCCAGTAGTCTGGGTGGGATAAAGGAGGAAGGAAGACACTTGTTACTTTCCTTGTTGCCTTTGCTACCATGTAGGCACTGTGAACAGTTTCTCCTCTGCGATGTCCCTCTACCATAAGGCCCTTCCTTGTTTTTGGCATATTCTGCTGCCATGAACTGTTGTCCCTCTGCCCCTCTGCCCCTCTGCCTTGGAGCCAGCCAACTGTAGATGAAACCTCTATGAACTGTAAGCCAAATAAAACCCTTTCCCTCTAACTTTGGGTGTCGGGTATTTTGTCTCAGCAGAGAGAAAAGTAACTAACACACTGAGCAAAAGGGAGAGTCAGTTGTCCATTCCTTTTTTTTTTTTTTTTTTTTTTTTTTTTTTTTTTTTTTTTTTTTTGGTATTGGGGATCAAACTCGGATCCTTGCACTTGTGAGGTGGGCAGCAGAACCCCTGAGCTAAACCCCTGGCCCTGAGCTAAACTTCCAGCTCCAGTTGTCCACTCCTGGCCAATTTCAGCTGCAGAGCTGTAGTCAGGAGAGACTTACAGCTGTTGGACAAGGGGACACAGCAGGGGCAGGCACCTCCTGCAGCATGTTTGGGGTCACCACTGGGGCCTGCAGCCACGCACCTGAGCACTTGTGGGGGACACAGTATCCTCCCGTATTCCCTTTCTCCACTGAGGAAAGATCTGAGGCAAAGCCAGATTTATAAGGCCTTGTTTCTTAGAGAACCAAGTAGGAGCCCCTAATAAAGCCAAAAACATATGAAGAAAGCCTCCCTATGTTTCTATGAGAGTGATAGTGAGTTGATCCTACCTGTTTCTTTCCTGGAAGATGCTCCAGCACCCTGTGAAAAATGAGAATGGCTTTTAAAAAAAAAATTCAGGCTGAATGACTATAGATTACTACTGATTACAAATACAGTCTGATAAACACAATTTAGAATATCTGCTCAGAGCACTGGGTTTGGGACAGAAGCCCACGGTATTTTGTTATTTGTTTATTTTTGTGTGCATCTGAAACACTGAAAATACGAAATGTCCCAGCAAGCCTTGACCTATCTCACTTCCCTAGAGGTCAGTGTACTTCTAACTCAGAAAGAGACGAAGGGTTGGAGATGAACACTTGGAAAGTCCATAGACCAAAGACCACAACAACCCCACATTCTCAGACAGGCTCCAATCCCCGAAGTCTTGTGGAGTTTCCTCAGACAGAACAGAAAAGGGCCCACTCTAAACTGTCTATTTCATGACACAAGCCTTAAGGTAGAATAATCAGATTTAGCAAATGAAATGTCTTTCCTTATCCCCTGGATTTTATTCCTTTTCTATCACCCCCTTCCCTTATCCTGAAAAAGAACTATTGTATGAATGAAGAGAATCCAAATGATATGGAAGGGACATTTTAAAAATACCCACCCTCAACTTGACTCTATCAATTAAATTAGCATACTCTTGATTCCTCATTCCCCACAGAGTGCAAGGAGAAAGCTAAAGGACCCGAGTTCTATCCCCAGTACAAAAAAAAAAAAAAAAAAAAAAAGGAAAATTTTACTGGGCTATTAAAGCCACGCCAGTGTACTAGGTATAACCGAAGACCCCAATTTCTTGCTGTTATAGGGAGAACTATAAATGTACTGATCAATGTTCATCAAATGCAGATCTTTATGCTTTTTACCATGGAAAAGGCCATCTTCCAGGTCCTTAGTGGGTCTTTCAGCGCTTATACCCTCTTCTGTGTTTCCAAAGGTAGACTGTAGTTCCCAGATACAGTGGTTTATTTCTAGGAATAAATAGAACACAGTAAGCATTGACTAGAAGTAGAGGAGATGTGGTACAAGAATCCTATAGGAGGACTCAACCAGATTTTTCATCCTGAGTGAATATACACATGCTGTTTTGCAGTTGTTAGTGTTTACCTTCTGTGCTCTCCAGAAGTTCAACTGAAAACATGGTGGCAGTTCAGGTGGGGGGGAAGCTCTAAGGGGGATAGAACTCAGGTCCTTGCCCTTGAGCGGCAGGTGGCAGAACCACTGAGTTAAATCCCCGGCCCAAAGGGGAGCTTTATGGAAAAGGTTAAGACTCCAGCCAGGCTCTGAAGGATGCAGCAGGTCTTTACATATGTAGATGAGGAAGATATCAAAGTGGTGAGACTGAGCAGTGAGGAAAAGCAGCCTTGTGAGCCAGTGAAAACCCTTGGAGCGTGGTGGTGCTTTTTGTTGTTTTGTTTCCCTTTTCTCTTTCTCAGTACCTGGGATTGAACTCAGGACCTTGCACTTGTAAGGCAGGTGCAGTGACACTGAGCTAAATCCCTGGCTGTTGTGGTTTTTTGAGACAGGGTCTCTTGCTGTGTATTTTAGGCTGGCCTTGAATTTACTCTGCAGTTGCGGTTGGCCTTGAACTCGGGGAGATCCTCCTGCCTCAGTCTCCCAAAGGACAGTGTTTAAAGAAAGATGAAACCCCGTTTGTTCTTATGAGGGCTGTGTGTTACTGAGTTTGTGATAAATATCCTTGACCTAACTAGATAGTGCATATCTGCACAAAAATTAGAAAACCTGGGAAAAATTACAATGTAATGATTTTCCATCTAATAGGTACAAATTAAAAGGTTGTGAATTATTAGAATGATGATAAAAATTATTTTTTGTTGTTGTTTTGTTTTTTGGTACCGGGGATTGAACTCCAGCCTTGTGCTTGCCAGGCAGGCAGGCAGCGAAACCACTGAGCTAAAGCCCTGATGATGAAAATTCTTAAAGATATGGTGGCCCACACCTGCTATTATCTTTAGGTCTCTGAAGTGATTTCTAATGTTTTTGCAATTGAAAATATATATATATAAAACCAGCGACAGCATCAGAGCCACCATTATTTTTACCCTGCAGGAAAAAGGGTGAAGTCTACAGTCCTGAAATGCGAGGACAAGTTGCATTTCTGCCTCTAGAGGGCACTGCTGTTTTCACAAAAGCAGGAATGCCCGGGTTTGCTGTGGGTTGCTGGTTTTTCCCTGTAGAAGTTGCATTTGCTTCTGCCTTCAGACCGGGACTAGAGAAGAACTAGAGGGGAGAAAAAATGTCTGTGGAGGTGGTATCCACGTCCTCCATTTAACCCCAAAGGATTAGAAACATGAGTCACATTCCTTAAAACTTTCATCTCTTCCTTTAAAAAATAACAATAGTAACGATAACAAAGCCCTCCCAACTTTTCATCACTGGGTGCAACTGGGCCTGTGTCATCATAGGGAACCAAATTTCTGGGAAGAGCCACTGACTTCCACTCCCCTGCCTGCTCAGCCCCCCACCTCAGGATCGGCACTCGTCCGAAAATGTCCGTGTTTTCCCTGTGGCTAACCCCAAGCAACTGTCCCAGAGAACACAATTTGACTCCTTTCCAAAGCACTTCATTTTTTGATTCCTGAAACTTGGCTTTCTTGATTTCTCCTATGCCTTCTTCTCTTGGTTGGTTGGCTACCTACCTGTTGCTTTTTCTTTACAGGTCTTTTACCTGAATTCGCTTCCACTCTTTAACTGTTTGCTAAGGAATCTGTCTGAGAGACACTTCTCATCTCATTCTATATAATCTGCTTTGATAATTTCATCCACTCCCAGGGTTTTGACTCTCCCACTGCAAATAGGACCCTCACATCTATATGTCTAGGCTGTGGCTCTCCCGGGCCTCACTTTCCAACTCTACCTGAATGTCACATAATCCCCTCCAGTACAGTTTCTGCAAAACTTACGTCCTCATTCTTACTCCTCCCTTCTACTCCCACTAATGCTTTATTTATCAACTGGTTTCCACAGCTGAGTAAATGATACACCATTTGCCCACTCAAATAAAACATCTAACAATTATCCTTTGTCCCATATCCAGCCTATCTCTGGGCCCTGGCCACGTAAGTCACTCTCAGATATGCCCCTACCCTGCTTTCCTTGCAACACTGCTGCATCCCAAGGTCTCAGCAACACACTTGTATTCGCCAGCTCTTTTATCACCGGGACACAATGCCCAACACCCACAATGTAAAAGAGGAGAGATCTGATTCAGCTCAGAGTCTGGGGCATTCAGTATACAGGCAGCTGGCAGAACATGATGGCAAGGAGGTATGGCAGAGGAAAGATGCTTAGTTCATGGCAGCTGAGAAGCAGAGCAGGGGAATCAGTGCCAGAGAGGAAAAGGTGAGGGAACAGACATATACAGGATCCCCAAGGCCGCATCTCAGTGACTCCCCTAGAAGCATGCTCCACCAATCCCCTGGGCAGCTCCCCAAACCAACCGACACTCCACATTAATGGCTGTAACACTCTTTTCTAAACATTTTCAGGTCGTATCTGATTTTACAGTTAATTGTTTGAATAGGTGTTACATTTATATGGCTCAAATTCAGAAAGTATAAAAGGCCTGTTCATTTCTTTCTAAGTTCCACTCAGAAGAAACCAGGGCCTCTCCTGTAGCCTTGTAGAGGCATCTGTCCACAAATGGTAGCAGGTTCTAGACACTTTTCTGTACCTCACTGTTTCCACTTAATTTATCTGTCCATAGTAGCACACTGAGATTGCCCTCTTTTTTTAAAAAAAACACTCATTGTATTCCATGATATAGTTATACTCTAATTTATTTAAATGTTGGCCCCTGTTTATGGACATTCAAGGAGTACCAAATTTAAACTATAATAAACAAGACTGTGAAGAACAACTTTATACAGAAGTCACTTCACATAGGCGCTGATACACCAATGGGACACATTCCTAGAAGTACAGCAAGTATACGAAGTTATAATTCTTTTGTTGTTGTTGTTGTTTTGAGACAGGGTCTCACTATGTAGTTGAGACTGATCTGGAACTCACTATGTAGCCCAGGCTGGTCTCGAACTCACAGCGATCCTCCTGCCTTAGCCTCCCAAACACTGGGATTACAGGCGTGCACCACCACGCCCGGCATATGCAGTTATAATTCTGATAGTATTACCAGCTTGCTGCCCATAAAGGCTGATCCATTTCCAGTCTTAACTGCTACATGCAAAAGCCTCATCTCTGACCTCTCCCTGCTTAGAAATGTATCCTAAGCCTCCTTGTCAGCCCCATCTTTCTAAAATGCAAAAGTGCCACATCACTCTCCTGCTTTCCTTGGCCTAACCTTTTCATTTCTCTTCCCAGTCTTGAAGACCTTCATCTAGGCCTGTGCTGCCCAGGGTAGACCATTATTAGACACATGTAGCTGTGAAGCATTAGACCTGATTAGTCTGAATTTACATGTGAGCTAAGTGTAAGAAAAACACTGAATGAGCCAGGCGTGATGGCACACGCCTGTAATCCCAGCACTCGGGAGGATGAGGCAGAAGGATCACTGTGAGTTCGAGACCAGACTGGGCTACATAGTGAGTTTCAGGTCAATCTCAACTACATAGTGAGACCCTGTCTCAAAAAACAAAAACAAAAACAAACAAACAAAAAAACACTGAATGGCAAAAACTTAGTATAACAAAAAGTGCCTACACTATCCTGTTAGTACAGTAGCACAACTGGCACTAGTAGAACACTCCTCCTCCATCCTCCTGAATTTAGGGCATACCCCGGACCAATCCTCATTTCCAGTGGCCTAAGAGACGCAGAATTAAAAATAACAAAAACCCAGGAAATCTCTAATGCTCCAGGTCTGAGTGTAGGCGTGTTAGAACTTATGGTCTGACTTTGAATAACCTTTTCCCCCCTCGATCCCTGTTAAAGTTTCATACATACAGACTGCATCTCATGTATGTGATTTAACCAAAGTGCATTCTGGGATAGAGGTGCTCATTATCATGCTTCTGAGAGACTCAGCACCTTGTCAATTATTTCTATCAATCTTATCCAAAGGCCCAGTAAGAGCCATCCCGGTGGGGTATACATCTTTTAAAATCAGAAAGCCTGCTTTATCTGAGTGTTTCTTATTTCCATCACCACTGAAACCACTCTTCTGTTTGTGCCACCTTTGTGTTTCTGTTAGCACAGACCTTCACTGGGCACACCTTCCTGTCATCTTGAAGAAATGTAGCTGCTTTTTTCTTTTACCATTGGATCTACACTTGTAATTCTTTGCTCACCATACGTAAGATCCTAGAATCTAGCTCTCAGATCCATCATGTGATACCACCAGGCTGAAATGATTAAAGTTTGGGTAGCTGGGCATGGTGGTGCAGCCTGTAATCCCAGCACTTAGGAAACTGAGGCCGGAGGATCATCGCTGGGTTGAGGCCAGTCTGGGATACACAGTGAGTTCAACGCCAGCCTAGACTAAATAGAGACAAGTAAGTTTAAAAAATAAATAAAGTTTGGATATACTAAGCTAAAGACCAACCATATCAGTAAAATTAATTTTACCTATTTTAAAATATGACTAAGAATTTTAGGATTAACACACATGGCTCTCATAGTTCTACCGGACAGCACAGATGTGAGCCAGCCCTTCCTTTGGCCCTCATTCCCCACCTCTCCTAGCCCATCCCAGCCTTTCTTGTGGTTTGGCTTCTCTGTCCGAAGACCTGCCTCCCCTGGCCTGCCTTGAGAACCTGTTCTCCCAAGGCCAGCTCTGTCTGTTCAGGGCCTTAGGCCAACAGAGGAAAGAGGACACCAAAGCACCAAGCGCCCATTTCACGGGTAGAGGTGCAGGAGGGAACAGGGAACGGGTCACAATGCAGGTAAAAAGCCTCAATTACAAAAAATAAAAACTAGCTAAGTTTAATCTGAATTCAGAATGAGACTTACCTTTTAGCATCCAATAATAACAAGGCCCGCACACTCGAAACTTACTTTCCCCACCCAGCCGCCAAAGGAGGAAGCCTGGCTCGGACCCCTTTGGTCTCTGAGCCTGCAGGACAGGGACCCCTTGAGCCTGGGGTAGCCCGACCTGCTCCTCTGGGACAGAAGAGTGCGGCCAGCCCAGCAACAGAGCAACTGCAAAGAGGAGGGGGAGGCGGCCCTGCCGGGAACTGGGAGGGACCTCTGGGGAAGCGAAACTGAAACTTCGGGCCCAGGCGTCAGGGCCCGTCGCGCCGTCGTCCCCACTCTGGCATCTCCTGCCGCGTCCCAAGCCGCGATCCGAGAGCCATGGAACCCAGCATCCGCTCGCCGTCCCCGCTCTTAGTGCGAGTACCCGAGTGCGAGCTCGTACCCCGGCTTCGGCTTCGCTGGAAGCTGGAGAGGTACTTCCAGAGCCGGCAGTCCGGTGGCGGGGAGTGCAACGTCCAGCCCTTGGCCGCGGACACTTTCCTGGTGAAGTTCAGAGAAAGGGCAGGTAAGCTACGGCCTGGGGACCCAGCGCTGGGCTCTTCTGGCAGGTCCAGTTCTAGCTGGGAGAGCGTGACACTGACTGTGGGGATAAAAAGGGGCCCTGCGCCCACCAGACTCCCTCCGCCTTCCAATGGATGCGCACAGGTTATATGCAAATACGACACCATTTTTAGATTAAAGATTTGAGCCCCTGTGGATCTGGGTGTCTTTGCTGGCTCCTGGATTCAATCCACAGAGATAGGAAAGGCCAACTCTCTCTCTCTCTCTCTCTCTGAAACCTCTCCAATTTCTGTGTGAATGTGTTTGATGTCTCCCCGAAGCCAAGGAGAGAGTGTCGAAAAGAAGAGAGCACCAAATTCAGACTGACAGCAAACTTGTGACCGTTTTCCTGGAAACCACTCAGGACCCGACAGAGAAGAACCCGGGATCCAGCATTTTTTCACTGCCCCAGTCACAAGCTGAGGCCCGGTCTGATGCAAAGCCTTCCCGTGAAGGATCCGCTCCCAGTGCGGTGGATCCCTGCATCCAAAAGGTGGGTGATAGGGGATTTAGCTCAATGGTTCTGCCGCCTGTCCCAAAAGGTGAGTGCGGGCCGAAGGGGCTGCCACTTCGGAGCGCCACCTTTGCCATCTCAACCCAGCGACCCAGCCCTGGCTACACGCCCAGATCTGGCCACTGGTGCAGTCACCGAGAATCAGTGGAGAGTAAAGCAAAGTCCAAACTCTCCTGCAGCTCACTTTGAGCCTGGAGAGGGACACAGAAAGATTAGCAAACAAATGAAAAATAAAAACAACAACAACAAAAATAAAACCACAGCAGCTAAGAGGAGGATAACATAGGGTTTTGCCTCAGAGAACCAGGGCCAGGGCGAGAAAGGGGAAGAGAGTTGGGCAAACGTCAGACCCAGATTTTCTGCAGGATTGATATTTGGCCTGTGACTTAAATGGTGGGAAGGAGTCAGCCATGCAGAGATTCATACAGCGAATAGTTATCAGCTGCTTACTGTGTGCCAGGCACTGTTACGGGGGCTGGGGACACAGCTAGGCACATGGAATACTCCACAGTCAGGGAAGAGTAAAAAAAATAGTAGCAGAGGGAAAAGACCCTCCTTAGATTTATGGTTCCCTTCCAAGCTCATAGACACTTTTGTGAGGATCACAGCAACTTGGCCAGAAAACAGAAGTGCCTCTGCTCCTCCAAGGTCACACAGACAGCAGCAAACATAGATCTTGCAGCTGTAAAAATGCTCATGCCCAGGCTCCACTGCGAACAACTCAGTTACATGAGTCTCTGGGGTTAGGCCTCAGCCCTGGCTTTTGTTGGTGTTAACTTTCCAGGTGAAAATATACAGAGAGGCCTGAGACTCTGTGGTCTGTAGCACACTGTGTCCTCTCAGAGGGTTTGAACAAGTTAGCCCTAGACCCAGTGGCTATTTCTGTGGTCTCTAGGCTTTCTCCTGAAGAGGAGACTGTTAGGTTGAATATCTGAAAGATTTTATGTGTTCCTGTTCCTTTTAAATTTCAGATCTTTCTCGCTGTAACAGCTGACCTGAACTGTGACCTGTTCTCCAAAGAGCAGAGATCACAGGTAGCCACAGTCTGCCCCAATATCAAAACGATGCAGGGTCACAATGGAATTGAGAGTGTGTGTGGTGACTTCAAAGATATTGAAAAAATATACCACTTCTTGAGTAGGCAGCTCCTGGGAAATGAGCAGAAACAGGAGTCTTTGCCTTCCACCACAGAGAGGAAGCTCCCTGACCAGCATGAGTGGAGCAGATTTTCTCCCTCTGAACCCAAAGCCAGCTCAGAAGAAAAAGGAAACCATTTTGAAGTTCCCTTGTGTTTGTTTGAATACTTTGAATATACCTGTCCGGATAAAATAAATTCAATCGAGAAGAGATTTGGTGTAAACATCAAAACTCAATCCAGTACCCTTACCGGTGTGACCTGTATATACTTCACTTGCAGTCAATCAGGTGATCTAGAAGGAGCACGAGAGTCTTTTGTCAGCGAGTTTCAGAAGAAAACAGCATCTCTGAAGCATGAATATGTCCCTTTAGTAGACAGTAAGCAGGCAAGTGAAATCAAACACAAACTGAGCTGCTGTTTCCCAAAGCTCCTCATAAAGGAGCACAGAAAGGTGCTAACTCTCCTTGGAACCCTAGATGACATCAAAGCTGCCAAACAAAAAATGTCTGAAGGTTTTGTCAAGCCACCTATGAAAATCTTGGCTCACAATTTCATGACCAATGCAGTTGAGGTCGATACCGCCCGTTATAAACTTCTAGCTGAATTACACAAGGAGATAGCAGAGATAGAGCAGAAGTACGACACTCACTGTCAGGTTTGGGAGAAAGATCAGAAAACCCTCATTCAGTTCAATCCTAAGGACAAGGCTTTAGATCTGTCTGTGCACGCTTATGCAAGCTTCATCGATGCACTTCAGCAGGCCTCCTCTCTGCTGATGAGTGAAGTCCTTCCACTGAAGGATTTGGGCAAGGACAGAAAACACCTACGTGGGACCAAGTTTGCCAATGACTTTAGCAAAAAGCATCCAAATGTACATTTTGTTCTGGATCAAGAGTCAATAACTTTGACCGGTTTGCCAGATCACCTTGCACAGGCAAAACAGTTTGTCTTACAAAAACAACGGGTGCCATTGGCTGGAGAGAAACTGAACAATGAGCGTGAAACCCTCGTAGACATTGATAGTAACGACTCAAAAGCAGCTTCTCCTCTACCCAAGGGCTCTGCAAGTTCTGGAAACTCAGACACAGATAAGAAGGAAGAAGATCTGTGTATCATCTGCTTGGACACCATTCGTAACAAACACGTGCTCTCAAAGTGCAAGCATGAATTCTGTGACCCCTGTATCAAGAAATGCATGTCATATAAGCCAGTCTGTCCTCTGTGCCAGACTTCTTATGGTATCCAGATGGGGAATCAGCCAGAAGGAACCATGACCTACTCCGTGAGGGAAGAACCACTTCCAGGTTATAAATCCTGTGGCACCATTGTGATTAAATATTGCATGAAGGGAGGCATCCAAACAGTAAGTGTTTCTGACCCCCCCCGCCCCGTTTCTTTCCACTGTACTAGGGTTACCAGAACAAAAGGGACTGCTCTGTTGTTTGGAGGTTATGTGTCAAGATGGGGGAAGTCAGGAAGGTAGGTAGTATCCGCAGTGAGTTTGAGGAAAGAGGTGAAAATGAACTATTAGGAACATGAGTAAAATTTTTAATACTTTCCTTGCTTTTGATCTGTGCTACCTACAAATGAACACGTATACACATATAATAAAGTGCATTTATTATAATTATATAATTAATATTATATATTAATTATAAGTATTATTAAGAGGCATAAAGGGCTTTGTTAAAAAGATAAAAGTACACCCTCAAAGAAATTCAGGCCCTCAAGAGAGAAACATGCTGCAGTTGGACCTGGGAATACTCGTGCGTTTTTGGGATGGAAGTCTGTGGAATTTGTGAATCTGTAGGAACCTCTGTCTTGGTCTTTTATAAGAAAAGAATGGCTCATGCACCAAAAGATAATGACCCATTTTACAGGTGAAAGGCATGAGCCCCGCCCAATTTTTTTAAGATGAGTGATGTAAGGTGCTTTGTCTAAAAACATTCTTTGAACTCTCTCAGTCTTTTTTTTTTTTTCTAATCTTAAAATTGGGTTTTTGTTCTTTATCAACAAAGCTAATTTATGGACTTGAAGTATCTTTTAAGAAATTACATATAATAGAATTTAGACAGGGAACTGTTTTCACATTGAATTTTTTGTTGTTTTCATACAGGCAGAGCATCCAAACCCAGGAAGGCGCTATTTTAAAACAGAGAGAATTGCATACTTACCTGATAATGAGGAAGGAAAAGAGGTTTTGAGACTGCTTCAAGTAGCCTTTAAACACAAGCTAATTTTCACAGTGGGACACTCTTCAACACAAAACATCTCAGATGTCATTACATGGAATGATATCCACCACAAAACATCCCAGTATGGAGGACCATCAAAGTGAGAGTCTTTTGAATTGCAGTGGTTGATAAAGCTTGGGAATTGTGAAATATGGCAATTTGCAGATGTGGCTATAAGAGTTTATAGCAGATGTGTTAGGTCAGTGAAGTATTTTGAGAGATATAGAAAATTATTACTTACAATAAACTAAGAATTTTAAAAGCCTGGTTGGGGGCCAGGGATGTAGCTCGGTGGCACTACACCTGCCTTGCAAGTGCAAGGTCCTGAGTTAGATCTCTAGTACCTAAATAAATACAAGCCTGATTGGAAGACAGATGCTGGTTAGACAGTTAGGCTCCCCCACTAGCTAAATGATTCACATCTGCACACTCAAGAGAGTGTACCTTCACACGTCCTCAGGATTATTATGAATGTTTGCCACCTTGAATAGTAAACCCTCATCTGCCAAATGTGTACAGTACAGATTTTAAAGAAAAGTGTGTAATGGCCTTAAAGGGATTTCTCTTTTTGCAGTTACGGCTACCCTGATCCTGGTTACCTGAGACGCGTTAAGGAAGAGCTGAAAGCTAAAGGAATTGAATAAGAAAACCACTGGAAGAAGGTCTTAACCAGGCTTTCTGAAGATATGTTTTAGGGGTTATGGCCAATCAACATCCTTCCTTTTTAAAACTTCATCTCAAGAAGTAATTTGTATAAGAATAAAAATCTGAGGGAGGGCAGAGGTAAGGGGAAAAAAATGAGAATCAAGACTTGCCATGTAAAGGTACATGATCCCAACAATGAATGTAACTGTACTGTATCCCTAAATGTACCAATAAACTCAATTAAAAAAAAAAAAAAAGAATAAAAGTCTGCTAGTCTGCGTATCTGGAGAGTTGCTTTTTTATGGTAAACAAAAGCCCCAAGAACTGTGTGGCTTTGCCCTGGAATTGTCATGTGTCCTTCATGGTTGGGGTCTGGGTTGGCCTGAAATAATAATCTATGTCTTTCAGTTCCACTACTAGCTACTGATGGACGATTTTTTCCTTTTATTTCTTTTGTGGCACTGGGGATCTAACCGAGATCCACAGAGCTACATCCTTAACCCTTTGATCCCTCTTTCCACTGCCATCTCTGGGGTGAAACTTTATAGTTTCTTATTTGTTTGCACTTTAACCCCTACCTGGTGGCAAGGAGTTTGTCTTTGGAAAAAAAAAAATGTATTCCTCTCCTCCCTGGCAAGAAAAATAGGCAGGAGCAGAGATTGGGCAACCTTTGGTAATAACACGAATAAGGCTATTATTTTTAATGCAAAGCCTGATATATAATTAATGCTTAATATATTTTTATTGCCCAACTCACATTGCTAGTGGCTTAATAGAAGGATATAGGTTTCCTAGATCTTTGACAGAAGCATGAGTAACAAAACTACTGGCATCCTCACCACTTGTTTGGAGAACCAAGTTTTTTATCCAGAGGGCTTGGTGGCTGAACTTTGATCAAGTCCCTAACTTGGGCCTTGCTACCCCCTCATCTTTGGGACCAGCCCTGTGGGGTGCTGTTTCCCTGCTGTAGAAAAGCTACATGTTTCTCAATATTTTTCCTCTCTGGATATGTTGCAATTTTGAGTATATCCTGCTTCCAACTTAGTTTCCATTGTTTAACATTATAAAGTTAATGTGGCCTGCAATGTAGTAGGTTTTTTTTTTTAAATCCCTTTACTAAATCCCACCTATTTAAGTTTTCTCTCTTAAAAATCTTTCTAACCCTCTTTCTTAATTTCTGCTAGGAATATATGACATGCCCAATTTAACGTTTAAATGGTGCTCTGAATCAGAAGGTGGTTATAATAGCAAATTATACACTTCTGTCCCCCAGAATGGAACTGTGTACCTTGTGTGCACATATATACATGTAAAATATTTGGGGCCCAAAAATAATGGCTACTATTTATTGCTTTGTCACCTTTTTAAGAGCTTTACAACTGTGTGATTGATACAATTGCTATCCCCATGGCCATACTACCAAAACTGCTATACAGATTCAATGCAATGCCAGTTGAAATTCCAACACTATATTTCACAGAACTAGAAAAAAGAATCCAAAAATTCATTTGGAATCAGAAGAGACCTAGAATAGCAAAAGCCATCCTAGGAAACAGAGACATGGCAGCGGGTATAACAATTTCCAATTTGAAACTATACTACAAAGCCACTGTGTTAAAAACAGCATGGTACTGGCAAAGAAACAGACCTGAGGATCAGTGGAACAGATTGGAAGAAACAAAAACAACTCCAGATGTACTCAGCTACATCATTTTTGACAAAGAAGCTGACCATCCCTACTGGAAGAAAGATAGCTACTTTAATAAATGGTGTTGGGAAAACTGGATCTCAACCTGCCAAAGATTAAAACTAGACCCTTATCTTTCACCATGCACTAAATTAAAATCCAAGTGGATTAAAGATCTAAATATTAAAGCAGAAGCACTAAACTTGCTGGAAGATAAGTTAGGCAGAACTCTGGAAGACATTGGCATAGGAAAAGACTTATGAACAAATCCTCAGTAGCATGGGAACTAGAAGCTAGAAGAATGAATCAACTGGGATCTCATCTTATTAGAAAGCTTCTGCACTGCAAAAGGAACCATCAAGAAAACTAAGAGACAACCTACAATGTGGGAAAAACTTTTTACCAGCTGTTCCTCAGACAAAGGACTGTTATCTAGAATATATAAAGAACTCAAAACAATCAGCCTCCCAAATATAAGGACCCGATTCAAAAATGGGCACCTGAAATGAACAGACACTTCTCAGACAAAGAAGTAAAAGCAGCAAGTAAATATATGAAAACATATTCCACATCACTGGGCATTCGAGAAATGCACATGGAAAAAACACTGAGATTCCACCTCACCCCACAAAGAATGACTGCTATGAAGAAATCACTCAATAACAAATACTTGGCAGGGCTGTGGGGAGAAAGGAACCCTTCTCCATTGTTGGTGGGAGTGCAGACTGGTGCAACCACTATGGAAATCAATATGGAGATACCTCAAAGAGCTGGAACTAGAGGTTCCATTTGACCCAGCCATCCCTCTGCTGGGTATCTTTCCAAAAAAATTAAAAGAATCACATCACAGTGACATGTACACCTATGTTTATAGTGGCACAGTTTGTAATAGCTAAAACTTGGAAACAGCCCATTTGCCCATCAATTGGAAACTGGATAAAGAAGATGTGGTTTTCTATAAAATGGAATACTACTCAGTCATAAAGAATGAGAAATTAGAGTCATTCATAGGAAAATGGATACATATTGAGGATATACTCCTAAGTGAAATAAATAAGTCACTTGTGTAAATACTGAATAGTTTCTCTGGTGTGAACAAACTATAATAGTAATAAGATCCTGATGAGATAATTGACAATGTGAAATAGGAAGAAAAGGGCTAAAGATGTAGGGAAAGTGGGAAGGGCAGGAGAAAGGTAATAAGGGAAAGAAAAACATAGGAGAAAATGAAAAATTGGAAATAAAATGTTTGTAAATGGGGAGGGGAGGAGGGGATGAAGGGAGGGCAGGGACAAAGGGAAAAAATGAGAACTAAGACCTGGCATGTAAAGGTACAAGATCCCAATGATGAATGTAACTGTACTGTATATCTAAAATGAACCAATAAACTCAATGAGAAAAAAAAAAAAACAATTGCTATCCCCATTTTATCAATATGAAAACTGAGGTACAGGCCACAGATCTAGCTCAGTCGTTCCACTGCCTGCCTCACAAGCGCAAGGGTCAGTTTTCAATCCCTGGTAACAAAACAAAGCAAAATTGAGGTACCCTAAGTAAATCACCAGAGGTGACGTGGTTACTGAGAGGAAGGGCTGGCATTTGAGTCAGGTAGTTTGGCTTGAGGACTTCTGCACGCCAGGGTGGTACCACCTCCTACAGGGTGCTTCTCTCAGGAGCAGGCGGAGGAGTTGCTTTTACTCTGGGCTTCTCTCAGAAGTAGGATGCAGCACAGTGCTCAAAGCAGATTTCCTTTGGTAAAGTCCTATTTGAATAACTTCACAACTCAGAATCCTTTCTGAAGGGATCCAACCACTGCCATTTTGAGCTGAATAGAAATCATGTCATCTACCCCACCCTGCCACGCTTGCACACCTGGCAGAGATATATGATCGTGGGTCGATAAGGCCCAGTGACATAGCTACAATCCACCTCTCCCATCATTCATCCCTGTGCTTGACAGACAAATGGCACTTTCCTTTAACTCCTCAAACCCTGTCTGGGGAGGACAGCCACAACTCCTTATTACTGAACTTTCCCCCTCCCAAATCCCATTGTGACTTTTCGTTCCACAGCTACCCACTTTTTGTGCCCATGACCTTTTAGAAAAAGGTCTTTTAGAGAAAATACCTCATATGCTGTATGAGAGTTAGCTGTCTGGTCTCTAGTGCTAGAGCAGTCCCTCTCAGGTTTGTTCTGTAATAAACCTGTCCCGTGAGCTCAGACCTCTGTTTCTTTTCCTTTCTTGTAATACTTTCTTTTGTCCAGAGAGTTATGAAAACTTAAGATAAACGGCGTATTTTTTAAAAAATAAGATAATATATTTAGAGTTTTTGTTTGTTCCTTATTAAGACAGGGTCGCACTATGTTGTCTAAGCTGGCCTCAAACTCACCGTCCTCCTGCCTCAGCCTTCTATGATCCTCCTCCCTCTTGAGTAGCTGGGGTTAGAGGTGTATGCAGCTGCACTTGGTCTGTACTTTGAGCTATTCATGACTCATTAATTTTTATCATTATAACAAACCAGTTGTGTTCTATCTTCTGATCTCTTGGCTAAATTTGTTCTGAAGAAGCAAAAGTTTAGTTTCTGCTAAGCTCCGGACACTGTATGGCATTGGGTATCCACACATGTTTCATGATGTGAAAATTGGTTAGTGAGCATTTGAATTACTACTTTCACCTTTTGGAAGATGTTATTATTATCTGCTTTAAATAAAATTAAGCCCGCCGGGTATGGTGGTGCACACCTGTAATCCCAGCACTTGGGAGGCTGAAGCAGGAGGATCGCTGTGAGTTCGAGACAAGCCTGGGCTACATAGTGAGTTCCAGGTCAGCCTCAACTACATAGTGAGACCCTGTCTCAAAAAAACAACAAAAAACAAAACAAAAAAAACCCCAAAAAACAACAAAAAAGCCCCAAACAAAACTAAATAAAATTAAGCCCATATTTGGAACAGGCTGTCTGTGTTTTTCCATCCCTCTTTTCCCTTAGGTTCAGATTCTGGGCGTTTCCAACCACACATATGTAAAAAGTTGGGTACATGTGCATGGAGCCTTGGCTGATTTTGTGTGAAGCTGTTTGCTAACTCTTTCAGGTGGGGGATTGTTTTTGTTTTTATTTTTGGAGAGAAGGCTTTGCTGTGTAGCCCAGGCTGGCCTCAAACCCTGGGCAATCTTCCTGCCTCAGCCTCCCAAGTACTGCGACTCCAGGTGTGATTGCAGCACCTGGCTATTTGCTGAATACTGTATTATCACAGCAGCCACCATTTCACTACCGAGTTCACTGTGGCCATTTTCAGGTGTGAAAATTATATTTCTCAATTGTTTTCTTCAATTGCAAATAGGTTACTATGAAGACCAAAGTAGGGTACAGATTTCCTCTCCCCTGGAGAGAGCCTAAGTAACATCCTATCCGACTACTGTTCCCTCTGGGCTCAGCGCACCAGCAGACTGGGTGTGTTCTCTCCAGAGCAAAAGGAGAGATGAAAAGAAAACTGAACATCTAGT